AATCCTCTGATCAGACATCAGTTATCTACAGGAGACATAGCAAAGCTGCCTATCAGAGGGTTAACCTCAAACATCACATTCTGTCTTTGGTCTAATCACACACACACACACTTTTGCAACAGGGTTGACTTTGAACAATTGTTGAGAATTAAAATCGCCTGTTGTCTCAATGCCTTGCTAAATATATTCATATGACAGAGTTAACAAACTTTAGGGTCTTCCCAGCCTGTGGAAAGTTTCCTGTTTTTGTACCGGGAAGTAGCCTACCATAAAAGGAAAATTAGCATTTGATGTTAGTCCTGCAACACACCATGTTGTTCCTTTAAATTTACACCAGAAATGTTGAATGTTGTAAAAATGAAGGTATTCTGCACCATTGGTTTGTTTTCATTAGCATGTCACATTAAGCAACTATATATACCAACTGAAACCACATGGTTTTCTGCAGTCTGCTCTTTGTACAGCAAATCGATATTGTGACAAGGTTTCTGCCTGGCAGCACCATTATACTGATGATACTCCTAAAAATACAAACAGTGCAATCTTGCACAACATAGGTTTTAACTTCATCATACCAAACTGAATCCGCTAAAATAATACTACAACTTGACCGAGATAGGATTCCACTTGTTTATTAATGAATATAACACATAAAGTTATGTGCACAGAAGCTCTACACCTGAAGTCAAATTATGTGCAAAGAGTACATCTCTGCTGTAATATTATTAGCCTACTGTCAGTTTGTGCTTTTGACCTATTGCCAGCATGTGGCCCATATTTGTGAAAGTGGAAAATGAAACTACAAATGCAGCTTAACTGGAGAAACACCAAAGGACACTTCACTTTTGAAGCATTAAAAAGAAAAAAAAAAAAAAGAAAATCAAAGTCTGTCTTTTTTTATGCCAGACTGCTGGTTAATAAGTGACATTTGTAGCACTGACTGACTGGGAAGAAAAACTAAATACAGATGTGGTCTGAGAGATTATTAGGCTAGTGAAATAGTTTAGTTCAACATAACCAGGCAGCACACACTGGTGGTGGTCACTGACTCTGGTCAAGTTATTTAATCATGCAGTCAAGATGAAAAAACAGACTTTGTTTTTTTAACTTCAGAGTTTCATCTGGACTCTTCTGCTGCTAGGATAGTATGATCTCTGTTGATTTCACAACTAAGCATTTGCAGTTGGCTCTGTAGCACTTTAGTCTACTCAGTATTTTTCTATGCTTATGTTGATGTCCCTTTAGGAACAAACTGTGGCACAGAAATACATCCAGACCCCAGCTGACAACAGCTCTTCTGACCAATGAATGAGATGAATCCTGATTTCATTACTTTTAATTTCCTGATTTCTAACCTTTAACAACCAAAGACCAAGGTAATCTCCCTTTTTAAGATGCATGATTATGTTGGTTAGACATGTAGTCTTGTATTGACTGCACTTTGAACAGCATTAATGTGAAGGGTGAGTAGCAAAACACATTTTCCTGTTTTGTATCCCCTCTTCTCCTCCTTGCCCTGTTTAGTACTTTGATGCTACATGGTATCACAGGAGATAAAACAGTAGGCTATAGTATAAGCTACATCATGGTCACTGTTATTTATGAACCTACACCATAGACCTTGTGTAGGTGCCTTCAGATCGTCAGGGTGCTGGTTCCCGGTCAGTCAGGGAAGAAGCTGCACGTGCAGTAGCCTAGCTGAGCAGCACACAGCACCTTCTAGAAATTCACTGGCCCAGCCAATTAGGAGCAATGTGATCTGGTGGAAATGCAGAGGCGCGTCAGTGCGTTTCCTCAGACTCATCTCTGTATATTCAGGTTTATCGTTTTACCGCCTCCTTACGGCCGCCGTATAATCATAGGGAGACTGAATCATGCATAGCCTGCGGAAAGGTGGTGGTGCTGGTGGTGGCAGTTGTGACGGAGAGTGTATGTGTGTTGTGCATTCAATGTATAGCCTAATCCTATAAACCTCACCGTAAATCATTGCCAGTCCGGTTTCGTGAAGGAAACGGACCCGTCTGTGCTTGAAGAGCCATATGGTGAGGATCGTTAAGGTCAGCAGTAAAATGAATGTCAGCAAATTAACGCTGTCCTGTCGGTGACTTTCCTCAGCCTCCTTCTCGGTGGCAAGTTCCTCCATACCGTCGTCCTCCGCCCTCAGTCCTGGCGCCGCGTTCAGTAATATCCAGACGGGCATCATCGTGCCCAGAGCGACAAAGGCTCCAGTCCGCTTCGGCTGCCGGAGAGCGTCCATGGTGCTGTAAGATGCTGCTGTTGCTGTTGACAGCACACCGCCTCTATGCCATGTCACTGCTGGAAGCTACGTACAGCTGAGCCGAGTGGGCAAGCAATCCAGTCTTTGCAGCCAGGCGAGTTCAACCTTTTAAAGGTACACTGCGCACTCGAGGTGAAAAGCGACGATGCCGCTCCGGAGAGAACCTGCGCTGCCCGAGACCAAATCACACTGTCGCCAAGCAGCCACAGAGTCGGCTGATTTCAAGCTACTGAGTCATTGTCCTAGGATTTTGATGATTTTGCAGTCCTGCGCTTACTCCTCTTCAAAACAGGAAATTCACTGGTTTTAAAAGTCAGTCGTTCGTAAGAAGCTGTGAGGCTTTGGTGTCAGTAGTAGTGGGGGTAGTGGGAGGTGGGGTGATACCAGGGCCCCATTCCCATGGCCCCTGAGATTTTAAAGTTTAATCAATAATTTATTAATTGATCAAATGTGTAGGCTTAAAGGTTGACTGCCCTGACCCTAACTCTGTTCAATAAAGCCTCTTAGCTTCTTTCAGCTTATTGTTTTGGTTTAATTGATGCACTTTGGTTCACTCACTGCTCTCATCAAACTCTTTTCCAGCAAGGGACAGCTGTTTTCAGTACAAATACTCTGGTTGACCCGCTGTACACTCCTGCTCAACATCAAAGCGGCTGGAGCCTTTAGTAGCTAAAGAGCCAGGCTTCCCTCAGGAGTTGGTGGAGACCAAAACAGAGCCAACATGTCCTCAATAGGTCCATTGTCAATTGTCCCAAAACAACTTATGTCCATTGGAAAGTAAGACAACATTTCGTTCCCCGAAAGGACATGTATCCTATGAGTGTTGGTAAGTACCAGTCCGGCGACAGGCCTACCTGACCTTAAGTATGACACCAGACCCCTGAATTATTCTGCCACATTATTCGTAACAAAAAAACTTAACAATATGGGTCATAATAAGCTGCTGCATTATCAACCTATATGGCCGTTTTCTGGTGAGGATGGGCTGGAAGATTACTTACATTTCTCAGCTAGACAAAACATAACTCCAAATTAATGCAAAGATCACATATCTGAATGTGTAAATAGGCAACTGCTTAGCCATAGCCACTTTATACAGTATCTCACTAAAGTGAGTACACCACTCCTGTTTTAGTAAATATTTGATTATATTTTTTCATTTGACAACACTGAAGAAATGACACTTTGCTACAAAGTAGTGAGTGTACAGCTTGTATAACATAAATATAATATAAGATATATAAATAAATTTGCTGTCCCCTCAAAATAACACAATACACGCCAATAATGTTCAAACCACTGGCAACAAAAGTGAGTACACCCCAGTGTCATTTCTTCAGTGTCAGTGCTGCAATCGGTTCTGGTTTCACACTTATTTATTGGACTGTTTTACAGGCATTTGCACCGCATATATTTCTCCAGTGAGGTCCACTGATGGTTATTGCTGCTGAACCTGTGACACAGAAAGTGTTGTGGGAGTGAAAAGAGGGTCAGTCTCTTCAAATGACCTCAAAAATGATGCAATGGTTGCACCAGATAATACATTTAATTTGGAATCAGTCACCACATGCACCTGATGCTGTTCTATAATAGAAGTTGTCAGCATGTGACTGGTCAAATGTTCATAAGACTTGAAGCAACTGATCTCTACCTTAGAAGTGAGCAGTTAGCAGTTAATTGTAAATGGGCTCTTTTCCTTTCTCACCCAGGAACTCTAGTGCATCAAACTTTATGAAATGTAATACTTAGATGATCCCTTAATAGAGCATTTACCACACACCACCTACTCTACAAGTTCAGTAGCATTAGTATTTTGTAACAGCACCAGTCAGTTAATGATCATGTGGTGGTTACGCAGAATGAAAAAGGGATGTAGGCTACAGAATGGCCAGGCATCAGGGCATCTTTCAGAGAAGCATGATTGAGATTATCTATTATTAGAGTGGCCTAGTAGCTTAAGTTGCAAGCTAATCTGATGTCTGGTTGGACATGGTTACATGGTGTTTGTGGTGTGTCGTGTGTGATTGAGTAACACTTAATAGAGCATCAATACTGCAAATAAATAACGCGTACTTGCATTATCTTGCATGATTTTATTCGGCACTCTCTTCAGTCATTTTATTTAATCATACCATATTCTTATTTTATATAAGGTATTTTACACGAGCAGGTAAATTCGTACAGGCAGACAACACCCAGATCGGTCTACCCAATGTGTAGATGACGGTGCGTTCATGGCAGTCTGGAAAATTAACAGCTTATTGATATTTCCTGAAGGAGGACCTCCCTGGACACTGATGCAAGTGGCGAGGTCCATTTAATTTGAGATGAGATCCCTACTATGTGATGTGCGACGTGTAACTGTATTTTGCAACAGAAAAAATTATCAATAATCTATGGAGGAACTAATTTCATTATCTGTGAAACACAATACCAGGTATTATCTACTTATATACGCTAGACGAAGTTTAACAATTAATTAAACTTGGAAAGGATATCTACGTCTCTCTTTTGTGTTTTTATATACATATACACGCATTAGAATCATGTTTAAAATGCAAACCTGCCTGCGGAATTCTTTTTTCTGCACTTGTCCCCAAACGCCTCATGAGTGCACGCCTCTTGTACGTGAGCCCGTCACTCCCCCTCGAGCTGTGATTGGCTGATGTTACGACTACCACGGTACCGATTGGTTGCGAAATGAAACTGGGAAACAGGAAGCTAGAAAAAAAAATCTTGTCAACTTAAGAGAACGTAAGCTTCTGCACCACATTTCCCCCTGTGTTCCAAGCAAAAGTTACGGATTGGAACCTGGTCTCATCTAGTCGCCAGTGATAGACCAAAATGGGGTGCTTCTTTTCGAAAAAATCAAAAAGAAAGTCATCCGAAAAAGAGGATCGTACGCCGACAACAACGACTGTCGAAGCTACGACGACAAGCAACGCTGTTCCCCTTGGCAACAACACCGACGAGGCACCGAAGCAGTACAGCTGGGACAAGAGAGAAAAGGTCAGCCCTGCAAAACACACTGTAAAGAAATAAAAACAAAACAGACGCATTGCTGGTGGCGAAAGAAGGTCTTAACCAGCTGAACATCGTTTAACTTTTGCGTTAAGTCTCTTACATGTACTGTATAATCTACCAAGAGGTGCGTTCGCTACATGTACAATTTTTGATTAAGAAATTTAAATGTGCCTAGCGTTTGTGTGACAAAAACGTAAATGTTTAGGTGTCACTGACCCTGCTGTACCAACCAGTAATGTTTGTCAACATTAGTATATCTCCTGGGAAGGTGAAAGAACACTGTTTACTTGCTGAGATTCATTGCGCAGCAGCAATTTATCATGTCGCAAAATATTGTTACCTTTAACTTACTAATTAGCCAGGGGATGCATGCAGTGCTCATTATCAGCTGACACTCTTGAGTATTTAAAGCGCTCTCTCTCTCTCTCTCTCTCGATATACCCGGTGTTATCTCCTTATCGGATTACTACACTGTGTAGTTCAGTGTTCCTCAGCTGACCACACTTAACATGTCTTGTTCAGCCATTATAGGCGTTAACTGAACGGTGGTTCAACTTCCGTTTTGACTCATGGGATGTTGTACCCAATGTGGTATACCTAATAATACATCCGTTGTGAGGTGAGAGTATTATGTTAGTGAAATATAAAATAAATAGATACTAAACTAAACTGCTCAATAATGCTAGAAGTAAAGACTCTACTTTAAATCTGGAGTATTGTTATTGGATACTTGGTTCAAAAAAGGCAGTTTGATTAATCTCTTCAATATTGTTTGAATACTCATCTAATCACCTTTATCTTTGCCCAGGTTGATCCCAAAGACTACATGCTGACGGGGCTCAAAGATGTCACGGTGGGCCGCCTGCCCAACAAACTGAACGGGCAACAGTTTGTCATCCAAGAGTGTGAGAACTGCAACATCTACGTTTTCGACCACTCTGCGACTATCACCATCGACGACTGTGTCAATTGCCGCATTGTCCTGGGACCTGTCAAGGGCAGTGTGTTTTTCAGAGACTGTAAAGACATCAAGTGTGTGGTGGCCTGTCAGCAGTTTCGCACACGGGACTGTAAAAAAATGGAGGTCTTCTTGTGCTGCGCCACCCAGCCTATCATTGAGTCATCTACGGGTATGAAGTTCGGCTGCTTTCAGTACTTCTACCCCGAGCTGGCCTTTCACTTCAAGGATGCCGGGCTCAGCATATTCAACAACAACTGGAGCAACATCCACGACTTCACACCGGTGTCTGGAGAGAACAACTGGAGCTTGCTGCCAGAGGCTGCGGCCGTTGAGGATTTTATACCGACCCCAGACCCAGAGTCTGAATTCAAGTCTGTTCGAATCTCCACTGAACCCACACGCAGCATTGTGCCTTTGACAAAGGGAGGGAGGCGTAAGGACAGTGAGGAGTCCTGCCTCTTTGTTTTCTTTGCTGGAGAGTACACCACAGCAAACGCCCGCAAGCTGATTGACGAGGTGAGAACAAAAAGGACAAGAGTGTGAAGAGGTGTCACTTACTTTTACATCATAACAGAGTGCTAAGTTTGGTAGCAACTGTAAGAAAGTGGGTTAAAGATAAGAAGTCTTATCAAATCACCCAGTTACTTTTTCTGAATATACAGCCTGTGGCTTGGAGTTTAAAATGCTGGCTTCTCAGCTGTAGCACCTCAATGCGTTAAATGGGTTTTTGAGATACACAGGTCACAAACCTCAACATTTCTTCATTATCTGGGATACTGACATATTCCATTATTTAATTAACTCTTTATATCTGTAGTATTCTGTAAATATTCCACATAATATTATTATTTGAACTGTACAATGATGCATCTGAAATGCTAAGCCACCATGCTAAGCTGGCCAGGCTGCTTCTTAAACATTCCAGTGACGTTTGTGTTGTTTCCAATATATGTATTACTGTATCACATAGGCATGACGCTGGATCCACTTCCTCCGTGTGGAAACATGGAGAATTCTTTAAATACTTGATGGTTCACTGCACACCGTGGATTCTTTTTTTTCTTCTTTGACTTCTTCCATCTCATTTTGCACAGGCAACCGCTAAGGGTTTTGTGCTGATCCAGACGAAGGAAGTCTCAATGCGACCTGAAGATGTGAAGAGGGTGTTTCAGAACAGTGCAGAGGAAGTCGTGGAGTGGATCAGCAAAGGTCAGTTTCTTTTCTTTTTTTTTGCTTTGCTGTTGTTGCTTAGTAGCTGCTCAGGAACTCAGCCAGGTTTGTTCGATCTCGTCTGACAGAGTTGCTTCAAAAGTCCACAGCGTACTAAAGTTGCGTTGTACGTACGACAGCAGAGCAGAGTGAAACAAGCAAGAAAATGTCAGAACTGATAAAGAGGGTCCATTTGTAATCTTCCAATAGCCATATATAATGCTGTTAATAATGACTGATAATGTTGCATTTAACTATTAATGTAAAAACTTTCATTTCTTTATTCCCACTGTGGTCTGAGAGAGAATAAAATTGCCTTTAAGTGTTTGCGTGAAAGAAGGAATTTTTGTATTCTTTCTTCCAACGATTAAAGTCAACTTTATTCCCTCTCAGACCTCAGTTTCCTGTTGCTTTCAGAAGCAAAAAATGTCAACCAGCTCACGTGATTTTTATTATGACAACATCTCTCTTTCAAGCGCTGATCTGGTACATACTTGGTGGTAAATACTGGAAAGTGTCAGGATCCCCATTTCAGTAGGAGGCACTTGCTGTTTCATAACCAAAGTGTGTGTTAAAGGAACAGGGAGAAGTGTATGTAGCTCGGGGGCGTACAGCAGTTGAAAATTTTGAAATTAGCAGCTGACTTTATATCTTACTACTAAAGGTCCTGTCGTTGCCCTTGAGCTGAACGGTGACGGGGTTGTGGAAGCCTGCAAGAACCTCGCTAATGAAGTGTTCAGTGGGACCAAGGTAATTGTTCTGTTGTGACTTATGTCTCTTCTAGCTTTACACAGATCAGTTCTCTTTCCAACCAAGAATATCTTTTTTTTTTTTTTTTTTTCTCCCCACAGGTTTTTGTCTCCGATAACAAGAATACATCCTCGCGAGACGTGGACAACTTCTTCAACTTCGCTGACATGCAGATGGGCTTGTAATTGATAAAGTATCAAAACAAACTGCTCGTCAGCCGTTGAATCTGATTTTCTAAACCCCCCCACCATCCAGCCCGGGTTGAATATGAGTTGCGTTTGATTAATTGCCTGTTTTTTGACCTCAAAAATTAGGTTAGAATGAAAACTATTAAAGACTGTGTTTGTTTGAAAAAGCCTTGGATAAAACAGTTCAGTTCATCAACTATCAGTCTGCAAAGTAAATTTAATTCCTGTATTGTCCAGAAACATTTGCTGTAAATCACTTAACATCCATTAGTGCTGTGACTATTTATATTTCCATGAATGTATTCTGTAATTCTGTTGCTTTTGTCAATTGTGAATGTAGCTCTGTGCTGTAAATGTAATTCAGTTTAATTTAAAGCTTTCTTTACTGTCTGAAACAGTTGTTGCAGTTGTAAAACCATGAGCACAAAAATGTCTGAGGGAAATATTTTATTTCTTATAAGGATTTATTTTTGTATTTGTGGTTTAATGGACTGTTTTAAAATGTGTATATTTGAGACATGCTGTGTAGAAAAAAAACTACATCTTTATTGATATCTGCTAGGCCAAAGTTGAATGGTGAAAGTTTGAGGGTATCTTGCTGTCAGTTCAGATTAATCTATTTACACTAAATGGTGTAAAATCATGTACAATTGCTGAGTTTTTCATGTAGGCAACTTGTGTCCTTTTTTTTTTTTTTTTAAATTTTGTAATATTTGTTTTATACTCTACTGACTGTTTTTTATAGATACAAATGAATGTTCTTTGTTATAATTTTGAGTAAAGGTTTTATCACGAGTGACTTCATTCATATAAGGCTTTTCACGCCTGTGCCCTAAAAGTGAGTTGATAAGTGGGCACTGTGTAACAATGATACTGGTTAGGCGGTGACAAAGTTGAGCCAATGCAGGTGACAGCAGTCTGTTATCACCATATCGTAAATAATTCTTTAAAGAGCTCCTTAAGTTCAATTTGAGAATCGAAGAAGCTGTAAATGTAAATAGTCCTGTTTGACTGTATTTATTTTGTGTTAAGCTGGTGAAAATTTATGATCATCACTCATTAAATTTGTTAATTATTTTCCTCTGTGTTGTTATGAAAGCCCATCGCTTAAATATTAAAGAGTAGTTTTGAATTGGGGAGTTCATTAACAATGTGCTGTCTTCCTCTGCACAGTTAGCAGATTTTACTTTAGCACAGCACAACACATTTGACTGTCACCTTGCAGTTTGACTTCTGTGTTGGGGCCCTTCATTTATCTGTGATAAAATACATTGCAGATCCATTTAAAGCAAAAAATGAACCTGATGTATCAAATTATTTTGTACAGTTGCCTTTAAAAACATACATAGGGACTTCTTGTGCTGTACTTTTGTTTTTGTAAACCTTTTGTACTTGAGCATACAGTTTTTGTAGATCAGTTTGTCTTCAAGGTTGCACATTTGTCTGTACTTTGTTGTTTTTACACTTAAATGTCTGTCTTTATAAAATGGCAGAGTCACATTAAAAGCTGTAGAATATCTGAAAGCAACCTGGCGGCTGACTGGTTACTTAATGTGAGTGTGTAATCATTGTTGTTAGGGAGTTTGTTGTGGTATATGGATAGAGGTGAACGCCAGTGAACGACAAGTGGACAAATCAAGCGCACCCAGGTTGGAGGGAACTCGGCGGGGTTTAGGACCCCGCGGGACGCGCTGTACAATAGAGCTGTTGTGCCGTGGTGGTGGTGGACAGATTGCAACCCTGGAGGTTCACACAGTGGTGGGATCATACAAAAAGATCCAAATTTAATCTACAGCTAGAACCAGAGCCTCTGCGTTATAGGTGTGTGTTTGGACTTTTGTCTGGACTGCTACGTGGTTGGAGTAAAGCAGACAACAGAGCGTGAACTGAAGGTAAGATGGGAGAAATGTGAACAATATGCTCGTGTGTTCAGTGTGCCAGGATTTGCCCTGAATGGTTTATCCAGGCCACGGGGCCTGCTTTTCCAGGACTCTTTCTGCTTCTTTACTAAACAAATGTTAGCGACTATTAAGTGAACGTGTTTCCGACCCTGCGCTGTTCCCCTCATTGAATTATAAACCCGGTTGAGCGGTATGAATATGCGTCTTAATGGCTTTAGGAAGTGACATCTTTGTATGGTGATGGTGGCGCCCATGTTTGATTTCCCCACAGACTGCAGTGCAGCCCGCTACAGGCCTGCGTGTGTGTTTGGCGCCAACAAGGCTCTCTGGGCAGGGCAGCCACTTTGTTGTTTAGGGTTTTATTATTCTAAAAGCACCCAGTCTACTTGTAGCCCAGTCTAACACCCAGACATAAGTACATTTAGGACAACACACGAACGTTTTATGATGGAAAAAAATGTAAACAAGGTGGTAACCGCAATTTGGTCATTGTTTCCTGTTACTTACAAACGTCATACAGGGGTTTCTTTAAAGCGTGATGTCATATCCGTGCCAGTTTATGTACTTGTATGTGTAAAGATATTATGAATATACTATATTATATTGCATGTGTATGCAAAGGAACAGTAAAATGGCTCCTATATTTTTTCAGTTGTGCTGACCCTTGGTCTGGAGACCAGCTGGAGGTGCCTGCTCCCACACAGTAATGCAATTACATCAACTTTAGTAGCAATATTAGCAAGGCTGGAGTACAGCACAAATTATGGTGGTCTTGCATTGTCATCATCATGCAGTTGTCTCCCACAAAATCCCAAACTCAGTCTGTCAATAGTCTGAGAGAAATCTTCCTACCTTAAACTCATAGTGCAAAATGTCAAACAGACTCATTTTGAAATAAAAAAAAAAGAAAGAGTACTTACGCATTACAACTAACTACTATTTCCATTATCGATTTAGTCCATTAAATGACGGAAAATAGTGAAAATTGACCATCACAATTCGAGTCGAAAGTTACATCTTTGAAATTCAATTTACAATTATATAAAACAGAGAAAAGTACCAAATCCACACATGTGAGACTCTGAAGCCAGTAAATGTTTGTGCTTTAGGGCCACAAAAACGATTAGGAAGAGAGACCATGAGAAAAAAAAAAGTAATGCTTTAAATAGAACTCAAAACACTGAATGGAAACACGGGGGAATATGTGTAACATTATATATTTGTTTCATGAATTTTTATTGTCAAAAAATGTCCATCTCTGCATTTTATCTAAATCCTCAGAAATACTGAGCAGGCCGAACTTCACATTAATCATTTATCCTCTTTTTGTAAATCAGTCCTGAGTAACTGAACGCGCAATGTTTGCTGCACTCAGAGATGGAAACAGTCGTGTCACCAGCAGATGCCAGGCGTTTTGAGTGCAGCTGCAGCAGGCTCTGCTGTGGAGGTGAACACACAGTGTACTGTGGTCTGTTTATGTTGAGTGATTTTTATCTTAAATATAGCACAGAGTTTTAGCCACGAAACATCCAGGAATGACTGCTGATGGTGAAGTTGTGATATAAAGGTTTGTGCAAAGTGTGCGTCAGTAGTGATTTGCTGAGCAGTGTCTGGGATTTTAAGGCAGACTGCATTATGTCTGTAGCCCTGCTTGTGTTTTCTTTCTCAGCAGTTGGCACCGGTGTATTTTACATATACTATGGTATCGAGTGGAACTGGCTTCGTGCCTTTTCCCCTCCTACCCCTCCTGTCCTCATGGGGAATGTGAGGCATGTCCTGTCTGTTGAAACAGCGTACTGTATTTGGGCTACTGTGGGTTTGAGTCTGCCAGTGTTTTGAAACCTTTTTAATGAGTCGTCCCAGCGGTTCAGTAGGTTAAATTCACATACTGTGAACCTGTGGTGTGGTGTCCTGTCTGCTCTGTTACCCTTCACTTTAAACTGTCAAAATACAAAAAATAAAGGCTGAAAAAACGATTAGGGCCTAATTTTAAAACGTGAGTCTGTGTGCTAAATTATGTTTTGATTGTTCACAGATATTATTATTATTATTATTAGTCAATCAATCTACTGAATATCTCACTGTAAGGTGTCCGGCCAAACCATAACATTTAGCAAGAGTCGCAATAAATCTTTGTGACGCAGACATCTTTTGCTCCTTTTACACATCGTTTTACTTTCACTATTTTGCTTGTTGGTTTGATGTATATTTCCTATTTGCAGGCACAAAATTAAGTCGTGAAGGTTTTATCAGAGGAATCTACTAGCATGCTTTTCAATCTGAAATTTATGGTGAGTAACTATCGTGTGTGTGTGTGTGTGTGTGTGCACACTGTTGGTTTATGTCTCAGCTGATACAGTGGAAAAATCATTAAAAGGTGGCTTGAATTTGTTAATGATTTTAAACACACAGTGTAACTTCCGTGTTTTAATGTCTGCTTCCTCCTCCTCCTGCAGGATGTTACAGGATGAAACGTCTCAGGACCTCAAGCAGCAGCAGCGACAGTTCTGACAATGAGAGTGAGTCATCTCTCTAAACCTAAACCAACCAAACCCTAAACTATTTAATTTTCTCTGCCGCTCTTTTACTCACTTCCTCTTTCTTTCTTTAGGCCCCTCTACCTCCTTCTGCTCTTCCAGCAAGTATGGCAGTAAACCTGGAACCTCGACCTCCAGCCCAAAGAAACCGGCTGAAGTAAGTTCCCATCCTTGCTGTCCTGTCAGGCTCTGTGCTGAGTGTTGTTAAACATGAGGACCGGTGTGTGACTGTGCTCCGGCCTCTCCCGCAGGTGTTCAGAAAAGACCTGATCAGTGCCATGAAGGTCCCTGACTCCCACCATGTGTCCCCAGAGGACTACTACCTGCTGGCGGACACCTGGAAGCAGGAGTGGGAGAAGGGAGTCCAGGTGCTGGCAAGTCCAGACACCATCCCAGAGCCGTCATTTAGGTAACGCTGTTGAATTCCCACGTCTTACTGGGGCCAAACCAAGTGCGCTACTACAGTTCGTTGCTAAGACCTTTGCAGCGCTGACAGATTTTGTCTCCTGTGTCCAGAGTCATTGCGGAGAAGTCCAAGGAGATGCTTTACACCCACCAGAGGAAGTACATCCAGTGCTCGAGCCAGGAGTCAACAGAACCAGGCTACGTCAACATCAAAGAGCTGGCGGAGGACATGTGTCGCTACGATCTGGACGACGTGGATCTTTACTGGTTGTGCACGCTCAACAGAGAGCTCGGCTGCATGGGTAAGGAACAGGCTCGTAAAGGGGTAATCCACCATAAAATTCACATTGTGCTGTTTGTCAGACAGTAAAGTCAATACCTACCAACATGGACATCTACCTCTCTAAGATGGGAATAAGAGCATTAAGATTTTGACTGATGACAGTCCGCTGGGGTTTCTCTGACCATGTGGGGTGTTGTTTTTGTCGTGTTTGCCTTCCAGGGGAGGAGCCCATCGACGAGCTGACGATGGAGCGCGCCATGGAGGCCCTGGAGAGGCAGTGCCACATCAACATGAACCACGCCATTGAGACGGTGGAAGGCCTGGGGATTGAATACGACGAGGACGTTATCTGCGACGTGTGCCGCTCCCCCGACAGTGAAGAAGGGAATGACATGGTGTTCTGTGACAAGTGCAACATTTGCGTGCACCAGGTAAACACGAGCACACTTCCCATCACAGTTAATCGATCAGTTGAGTAGTTACTTGGTGAGTCCTGATTTTGGATGCTCTAAAAAGCAGTTACTAGTTATAACTCTTCCATCACTAAATGATCTTGTTGAAATAATTACAAATAGATATAGCATATAGATTATCTCGTTAAAATAAAAATGTGGGCATTTGTCTCTACTAGATAAATTTAAAAACCAACTCTGTCATTCTAAAAGTTGATGCTTTTGCTGTTGGTCAGACAAACTGAGGACGACTTTTGCTCTCAGTAATTTTCAAATTGTGTTTTAATAAATGTGTCAGTTACACAGTGACTTACTTTAAGTAGCACTTCAGTCACAAAATGATCCAACCTGCTGCTCTCCCCACAGGCCTGTTATGGCATAGTCAAAGTGCCTGTTGGAAACTGGCTTTGTAGGACGTGTGTCCTCGGCATCGACCCTCAGTGCCTTTTGTGTCCTAAGAAGGGCGGCGCCATGAAGGCTACACGTGCAGGCACCAAATGGGCACATGTAAGCTGTGCCCTGTGGATACCAGAGGTAAATAAACACTTCTGTCCTCTGCTTTACTCTTGACCTCTTTTTATTATTCAACAATACGTATGTGTTAAATAAAGTCTTTATCATGCCGTGCGTTTCCTCTTCTCTAGGTGAGCATTGCTTGTCCCGAGAGGATGGAGCCCATCACTAAAGTGTCCCACATCCCACCAAGCCGCTGGTCTCTCATCTGCAGTCTGTGTAAATTGAAGACAGGTGCATGTATCCAGGTGAGTGTGGAGCTGTGTTCTTATATAACCAGATGAAAAGTATTTAATGTTATCCTTTAAAAAGTGTGTAGCTTACTCCTTTAAAGAGGTAGAAAATGGTCAATAAAAAACAGTCAAAGGTTTAGCTTTGCATGCACGGAAGACTTCAGGACAGCTTTAGAATGAGTAATGAAAGAAACCCTCCATGAAAAAACTGATAATACTGTTATAATGGAACATAAGCTGGCTAACAGAACAGGCACAACTTAGCTCTCCTTACACATGTTTTTATAATGATTTTAGGCCAGAAAAATAAGTTGTTTGCTAACGCTAAATGTACATTAAAGGAATATTTTCACATATTGGGAAACATGCTGATTTGCTTTCTTGCAGAGAGTTGGATGAGAACATCAATACCGCTCTCTGCAGCCAGTTAGCTTAGCTTAGCTTAGCATAAAGACTGGAAACGGGGAAACTCCAGAGAAGTCACTGCTAATATTAATTAGTGAGCTTTTGGTTAGCTTTGGACAGAGCCAGGCTACTTGTTTCCCCCTGTCCCCAGTGTTTGTGCTAAGCTAATACCCTGCTGGCTGTAGCTTCAAATTTAGGATACTGATGTAGTAATAATAATATCAACCTTCTCATCAGACTTTTGGCAAGAAACTGAATAAGTGGACTTGTAACTTATGATCATCTAATTATGAAACAAATAATGTAAACTCAAGTTACCTGGGAAACTGGGTTTCTGCAAAATATGTAGATTGTTTAATGTTACGTTTAACAATAATCTTTTTATTGAGAGTAATTTGGTTACAGTTCATGTAAACATAATAACCCCTCACCCCACAGTGCTCCGTAAAGAACTGCACCACCCCTTTCCACGTGACATGCGCCTTTGAGCACAGCCTGGAGATGAAGACCATCCTCGATGAAGGGGATGAAGTCAAGTTCAAGTCTTACTGCCTCAAGCACAGCAAGTCTAAAACTGGGGAGGCTGGCCTGAGCCCAGCTCGCTCTAAACCCCCCGCTGAGGCGGAGAAGGTGGGCCAGCGGGCACAGAGACTGCAGGAGCTGGAGGAGGAGTTTTACACTCTAATCCAGCTGGGGGAGCTGGCCCAGGCCCTCGGGCTCTCCGAGCGCCTGGCGGACTTCATCTATCAGTACTGGAAGCTGAAGCGGAAAGCTAACTTTAACAAAGCTCTGCTGCCCCCTAAAGAGGAGGAGGAGAACCTGGTGCTGCAGCCTCAGGAGGACAGCATCCACACACGCATGCGGATGTTCATGCACCTGCGACAGGATTTGGAGAGAGTGGGTGCTTTTGTTTCTTTTTTTCTTTTTTTTTGCACGGCAGCAAGATAGTCTTTAGTGCTGAGTCTATGTATTTCTGGTTACAGAGCAAGTCCAGATTATGCCCAGTATATACTGACAAAGCTGATACCCAACATAGGCCAGTATATACAGTATTAGTTAACTTAATTTTCTTCATTTAGTAATTTTTTTAATCCTTTATTTTTTTTTTAAAGCCAGACAGTTTCTATGCAGAAAATCTCATTTGGTCCATGAGCCCTAAATTTACCTTTCATTAGTCAGTATGAGTAGCACATTATAAATGTTTCAAATATATTTCATGTAGTTGTATTAATATTATTAACCAATATGGCTGTATGGCCGTATCTCCCATGATTCAGTGTGCACATAACACAACTTAGCCATGGAGAAAAATACTTAGAAACTCCACCTTTAACTATGATAAAAACACATTTGTTGGGAGGTTATTGAGTTTCCTCAACATCCATCGTATTCACCATCTTCTGTGTTGTGTTTTTCTAGTTTCTCAACACTGAATAGCTCTTTGAATTAAATCTCTACAAATTGATCTACCCACATCAGCAGATAATCTCTTGCAGTAGGCCCTGGAAGACTGGAGATTAAAGTCTGCAAGAGAACTGCCACTTGCGGCAAGACAACAGCGTGTATATATAGCATAAAGCCAAAGCAACATACGAATGGCTTCAAAACAACAATGTTAATGTCCTGGGCCAGACACCAAGCCAATGCAGAATATGAGGCAGGACTCGAAAATTGCAGTTCATAGTAAAGTCGAGATAAATAGAGGTAAAAACTTTGGTACTACAACAAAGCTGATACCGACCTATCCATATAGACACTAGGCTGTCATAGGTTACTTCAGCGGTGAGTCCTAATGTAGGGCTGCAGATATTGATTATTCTCATAATCAGGTATTCTGTTGATTAGAAATTGCAGAAATAGGGGGAAGAGCCAGAGGTGACGTCTTGTAATCACAAAAGTATTTGGTTTATTATCGCAAAAGAAACAAAAGAAGCCGACCCTCATGTTGGAGAAGCTGGATCAGTGATCAGAATAGTTGAACATAAATTTTCTGTTGTTTCAGCTCTGTTTTTATATTTGTACTTAATTTAGAATACTTTGTAGTGATGGTTTTAATTTTGGACATTAGCATGTCTTTCTCAAAATCCATCCATCCATCGTCAACCGCTTATCCTGCATACAGTGTTGCAGGCTTTCTCAAAATATATAAAAAAAAATGTAAAACATTAAAAGTTGAGATTCCACAATAATAATTATAATACAATCTGAAAGAGCACTGTACACGCAGAATGTTTGTCACATATAGTAGCATGGCCATAAAGTCTCAGGCGTGAGACCGATTAGCGTAACCTTAAAGGTAGCAGAAAAGTGCTTCACAGACATGTAGTGTTTGTTTTTCATGGCCAGTGTTTTCTCATTCTGCAGGTGAGGAATTTGTGTTACATGGTGAGTCGGCGGGAGAAGCTGAAGCTGTTGCAGAGCAAAGCACAGGAGCAGATGTTCAACTTGCATGTGAAGCTCGTGAACCAGGAGCTCTCTGCTGGTGAGCCATCTGCTGCTCTTCAGCTTGCCATGTCATGTGACATCTAAATCATAGCCTAGTCTTATCAGTGTCTTTAACGTGTCTTTCTTTGTCAACAGGCCTTCCTTCTTCATTCCCAGTGGAGAGCCTGCTGTTCCGTCCTCCTCCGAGGATAACTCTGAAGCTGAAAATGCCCAAATCCTCCGTTCTTGGTAATGGAAATCCCAGTTCCAAATATGGTAATGGGCCGCTCTGCCCGGACAATAGTGTCAATGTTACTGAATATGCAGGTGAAGGGCTGGGTCAGGGGAAGCCTCAGCTACATGGCTGTGGTCGGAGGGATGAGCGCGCCAACGGTCGGCTGCCTTCCTCGAGCCACTCGAGCAGCCCAGCTCTGCCTGTCAAACCCACTGGCAAACCTTTAGCCCTGCACGCTGCGCTCCACGGCCACTCTTCCAACAGCAACGGCAAACTGGACCAAGACCGATCGTGCGTGGCTAAATGTAACGGCCTCTTTGTGGCTCAGAAGGACAGTTCTTTCCAGACGCCCAGCGACAAAGGCGCTTCAAATCAGGCTTTGGACAAGAGCAGCTTTCGGAAGTCTGCCATGGAGCGCTTTGGCAGGTCCTTCAAAGAGGCGACAATTAACTTGGTGCGGACCACAGAGGACCTGTGGGCCTCTGACAAACTGTCCCGAAAGGGCCCAGCCAAGGAGAGACTATGGGCCAAACCCGTGTCTGAACACAAAGTGAAAAGCACGAGATCGTATCAGGACAGTGACGGATACTGTCCTGACCTGGAGCTCAGCGACTCCGAGCCAGAGGCCAAAGGGAGGCACGGGCGGCAGGTGGGGTCAGATGCTCCAAGGAAAGGGGTCAGCCGTGGGAAACAGTCACCGGGCTCCAGACACCCCGTGCAAAGGTGACAGCTGTTTGTTTACTCCAGTCGCTGCCGCCGTTCTCTCCTGGCCGTCTGGTAGTCTTCCCAAGTGCCAGGTCATCTCTGTGAACGCATCTCCACCAGGAACCAGACAAAGACGCAGCGCTAATGATGCAGTATACAAAAAGCAGAAGATGCATTAAGGGCATTGTCGTCAAAGAACATCACCTAGTGGGATTCATAAAGAAGAGTAGTGCTGTGTTAGTTTTGGTTTGAGAGGAACAAATGTCTTCAGAGATTATCATGTTTGCCTTTCATTGTGGCCAGCATTACATTTTTGTACTCAACTTTGTATTAAACACGCCTGCTTGCCCAAACACAAGTTCAATTTGCCTTTTGACTAAAACAACTGTACGTGAGATTGGGATGTTAATAATGTGTAACTGAATCACACATGTTCCACTTTAATCATCCTTCAAACATGCAATCAGAGTTGCAGAAATTAAAACAGATGTGCCAGATGGGAATTTTGTAGAGAGTTCTAGCACTTACTGCACCTGTTTCTTGCAAATTGTCTGTCACAGTAAACCTGTTTTCCCACAGGCGATAAACTGACTTTTTTTGTCAATAAATGGAGTCAGTTTTACAAATGCAAACACCTCTGTATGTAGGAATGCAGTTTTCCACTATGGGTACCTTCAGTTTTTGCAGGTTACAGTGTGTCGCGTGCTGGTTAGACTGAAGGATTGTGAAAAGCATTCAATTTCTTGTCTCAAAACTGGAAGAAATGTGTGTAAGACAGGATAATTACACTCCCTGATGCATCTTCAAGAAGTCATTGAACCTGGATCCATAAAAGCTACTTCTGTCACATTTTCTCCTAGTTTACAAGGACCAGATACTGTTAGGATTTGGTACAGGTATCAATGCAGTACGTTTAGTGATATTACTTTAAGTATCAAGTAATTTTTTCCACAGATAAGCATAATTAAATCTGTATTATAAAGGCCAAATTGCTCAAACACATCAGTTTGAAATGGTGTCTTAATACAGACATAAAAAAATTAACAATCAGGATTTATATAAGGATATCTGATCAAGAAATAAATAATCTGACCAAACATTCACTTAGAATTATTTAGTCTGCCAGTTGTCAGTGTCTAACTGTGGTGAAATTTTCATGAATAAATGTACTTATGCTTATCCTCAGAACAAGGTCAAGCCAGATTACCTTTTTAAAAAATGAGGTAAGAGAACACAGATGAAACTGAATGTTTCCTCATCTTACATATGCCAAGAAGAGGGCAGGTGCAGGCCAGAGCAGGCAAACAGAAGTGAAACATGGCTGTCACTTCTTACCCACATCACTGTAAGAATTATACAAATAGACTCACCTAGTGTGGTGGAGGATTTGTTGTGACTGAGTGGTGCTCTGTCTGAAATCACAAAGAGTACAGGTATTGTACCCAACTACGCACCACATTCCCACTGTGCAGCAGAAATACATAAGCTTGTCATGTGCCACATTATGGTTCTACTTTGGAAAGTACATTTTGAAATAAAACATTTTTCATTAATATTTGTGTTTTTTTGTGTAGCTACTACACAAATATACAGGTGAAACTCAAAAAATTAGCATATCGTGCAAATATTCATTTATTCCAGTAATTCAACTTAAAAGGTGAAACTAATATTATATAGACTCATTACATGCAAAGTGAAATATTTCAAGCCTTTATTTGATATAATTTCGATGATTATTGCGTACAGCTTATGAAAACCCCAAATTCAAAAAAAAAAAAAAAGAAAAAAAGATTTTAAATACAGAAATGTCAGCCCTCCGAAAAGTATAATCATGCATTTGTACTCAGTACTTGGTTTGGGCCCCTTTTGCATGAATTACTTCCTCAATGCGGCGTGGCATGGATGCTATCAGCCTGTGGCTCTGCTGAGGTGTTATGGAAGACCAGGATGCTTCAATAGCGACCTTCAGCTCTTCTGCATTGTTCGGTCTCATGTCTTTCATCTTTCTCTTGGCAATGTCCCATAGATTCTCTATGGGGTTCAGATCAGGCGACTTTGCTGGCCAATCAAGCACAGTAATCCCATGGTCATTGAACCAGGTTTTGGTACTTTTGGCAGTGTGTGCAGGTGCCAAGTCCTGCTGGAAAATGAAGTCAGCATCTCCATAAAGCTCGTCTGCTGAAGGAAGCATAAAGTGCTCTGAAATGTCCTGCTAGACGGCTGCGCTGACTCTGGGCTTAATAAAGCACAGTGGACCAACACCAGCAGATGACATGGCTCCCCAAACCAACACAGACTGTGGAAACTTCACACTGGACTTCAAGCATCTTGGATTGTGTGCCTCTCCATTCTTCCTCCAGACTCTGGGACCTTGGTTTCCAAATCAGAAAAGAGGACTTTGGACCACTGAGAAACAGACCAGTTCTTTTTTCTTTAGCCCAGGTGAGACACTTCTGACATTGTTTGTTTTCAAGAGGAATACGACATTTGAAGCCCATGTCCAGGACCCGTCTGTGTGTGGTGGCTCTTGATGCAGTAACTCCAGCCTCAGTCCACTCCTTGTGAAGCTCCCCCACACATGTGAATGGCCTTTTCCTGACAATCCTCTTCAGGCTTCGGTCATCCCTGCTGCTTACGCATCTTTTTCTTCCACACTTTTCCCTTCCACTTAACTTTCTATTAATGTGCCTTGATACAGCACTTTGAGAACATCCAACTTATTTTGCAATTACCTTTTGAGGCTTTCTCTCCTTGTGGAGGGTGTCAATGACGGTTTTCTGCTGTCAGGTCAGCAGTCTTCCCCATGATTGTGAATTCCACTGAACCAGACTGAGATACCAATTAAAGGCTCAGGAACCCTTTGCAGGTGTTTTGGATTAATCAGCTGATTAGAGTGTGAAACTTTGAGCCTACAATACTGAACCTTTTCACAATATTATAATTTTCTGAGATTTTGAATTTGGGGTTTTCATAAGCTGTAAGCCATTATTATTGAAATTATATCAAATAAAGGCTTGAAATATCTCACTTTGCATGTAATGAGTCTATATAATATATTAGTTGAATCTTTTAAGTTGAATTACTGAAATAAATGAAATTTTGCACGATATGCTAATTTTTCGAGTTTCACCTGCATAATACCTAGCAATAGAAACTGCACCTTTGTTCCATCAGTTATTTAGAATGAAAGCTAGGTGGCAGCATTTCCACACTTGTCGACCACCATTGTGCACTGTGTTTTGAAGTAGAGCCAGCAGGCTGTATCTAATACATGTTGCCTTTTTATGGCAGGACAAGCTCAAGTGTTAATAATAATGGAGCCGTTCACTTTAGGTATATCACTGAGCCAGCTTGTATAATACTAAGACCATGTAACTAACAAAACTAAATTAAACGGTCATAATTAATGTTTTTAATTAAACATGTGCTTCGACTGATGACATGTCAAAATATATGCAATGACAAAGGCATCTGTAGAGAGGCAGAGGGAACAGCTCTGGTTTGATCCAAAGCCTGCAAGGTTTCACCTGCTCTTAAATCAGTGTGTGTAGTTTGCTTCGCCACGCTGGTTAGTGCTGCTTCAGGGTTTTTTGAGCTGCTGAAGAAGCTGAGAAAGTCCTGACCAACCAAATTATCACCAACAGACAACTTAATCAATTTCCTCTTGGGAAAGCACATTTTAGTACAAAGGTCAGTGTTCTAAAATCATTACCTATTTACAACTTTCAAGAAAGTCTTTAAGCCAAACTGCCATATTTGACAAACATTTGCGCTTGAAGAACACGTTTGACAACATCTGAATATAGTTGGTATTATCGTGTACCATTGTAATTGGTACTTAAAATGAAGGGTAAGCCTGCCTGTATACATCTTACTCACATGTTACAGATAGAGAACTCACTGTTTAATAAACAGATGTTGCAATAACAGATATTTATCACAGGACAGCAGTTACCAATCTTTTTGTCTTGTGACCCTTCAAAGCAGAGCCACATCTAATCGTGACCTCCTTTCAAAGGTTGTAGATATCTGAGTCGTGAGCAGTTCAACAAAAAAAAGTGATGTTTCCTCTTCAGTTTGTTTCATTTCAGTCACTTTTAGAGGCCTGAAGAGGTAAAACTATTGAAAATGATACTATAAAAAAAGCAAATGCTAGAGAGGTGTCAGAAAATAATACTTCCTGTAGGAGAGATCAGGGGCGTTGCTAGACATAAAGCTCTACTGGGGCACAGAAACCCTCATTCCCCATATAAATTTTTGATTTTCATATATTTTTGAGTGTATGAAATGTGCTAGTATGTGCCTCACCAGCTTCCCTTGCTTAGCCCATTAATATTGGCATGTCATGTCAGAAAGGGCTTTGACCAGAGCATAAGCACCTATGGTACCACCTGAGAAAGATTCTGCTGTGGGGCCCTCCTACCTGACTTGTGAGCCATGTAAACAATTTGCCATTGCTGCACACCTGACACTGCGGTGCTCTCACCTCTCTGTGATAAGCCTGAATGGAAACCTCTTCTACAAAATACCACTGATAATTTGAATGGACCTCTGCGCACTAACTCAGTCCTCCATTAGGGTCTGAGCTGCTTGTATCGGATGCTGCCTGTAGACCTCTGGCTGTGCTTTTACTGGCTGAGGCTGACTGTATTTCACCTGGCTCTGTGTGACCTTCTAAAAACGTCTGGACTGGGTCTGTGCTTGTACTGGCTTATGATCCAGTATCTACTCTACTGACAAACTTCCGCAGAGCCCCTGTAATTATAAATATCTACTTGCAAGATATTAATGTTATCAGCTGCATCAGGCCCATTCAAACTGGCTCCCCAGGTTTCCTTTAATACATTTTCAAAAGGAAAATGCTATTCATACTATGACATGACTATGTGATGTTTATTATCTACTGAAAGATATGCATCCATATTACACAGTCTAGTAATCAACATTTTAATAGTCTATGTGAATCCAGTGCTTTCCATCTTGCATTAGTCCAGAGTTGTAACTAGACCTTCACTGAGAGACAGATAATTATTGTCTTGTTTCAAAATGATGTGCATCTATGAGAAGTGCCATCACATCCCTGTGTTGTCTGGACTGGTCCCACTAATGTTGCTGCTAGAATGCAATAAGGTCCGGCTGAGGACTGTAGCACAGCTCAGCCAAATGCGCGAGTTTCATGTCTTGCATGCGCACATATGTATGAGCCATGGTATGAGCGCATGTTCATGCGCGACGTGGTTTTCTTTTCAGTGCTGCAGCACATGGATTCAGGGGCACATAACCCAGTAAAAAAGGTCTAGCAACTCCTATGGCAGAGATACCTTTTAAAGGTACCGTGTGGAGTTTTTGACCGCTTGTAGTGCTATGGAGTGGGTCCCTACTTTTAACACTGTCGCCTCACAGCAAGATGGTCGTGGGTTTGAACCCCGGTTGCCCCGGCCTTTCTGTGTGGAGTTTGCATGTTTTCCCTGTGTCTGCGTGGGTTCTCTCCAGGTGTTCTGGCTTCCTCCCACTGTCCAAAGGCATGCAGGCAGGGGTGATTGTGTGGCCCTGCAATGGACTGGCTGGATGTCCCGCATTTTTTGCCTGATGTAAGCTGGGTTTGGCTCCAGCCCCCTGCG